TTTTTTTTTTTTAATACTATTTTTATAGTCACCACAAATCTTTAATTTGACAGTAAACACGGCAGAACTTTTAGAGTATGTAAGTAGCAGAAATTGGACACTCTAATCACGGCAACCAAAAGACTACGTAAAAGAAGAATATGCATGTATATGTATATATATACATGCACAGGTTTGCCTATATATTGCTTTTGAATCACCCAGATATAGTTATCATATCAATATTTATTAATTCCAGATGCGGTTATTACATATTCATGGTGATTTTTAAAGAGGATTAGTGGCGTACGTATATAGCAAATCGAATAAATGATTCCCCTAAATAAGTGTGAGGCATAATTAAGCAGTGTTGGACATATTATCGTTATGGTCTCATATGAAGTGTCATATATTAATTATATGACATGATTCTCTATCATATGACATGATATATATAATATTGTTATCGTCTAATATTGTAACACGATTGGATTTGTATTTTATTGGAAAGGCGTAAGTTAGAAAAGTGGTGTGAAATATCATACTTAAATAGCATAGTAGCAAAATAATCATTCCTGTCTAAATAAGTTGAACATAGATTCAAAATCGACCAGTTTAATGCAAGAAGCGTAATTGTTGAAGGAGTATAATTAGAAAATGGTGTGAGGTATTATGTATAATTGTGGGAAGAGAATTGATAGTCTTGGCGAAGATGTAAAAATTTGATATTTAAAATAAAATATTTAAACACTTATTTTTTTACTTAATAAAAATTCAGAATTCAATTCTGCTTCTATTTTACTTTAACAAAGCTTTGAATTCTTAATTATTTCTCGTGATCACATATTTATTAATTAAATTATTTTCTGACTTTGATTATACATCTTATAAAATCGCTATACTTATTTTCATCACGCATATATATATTGCTAACCCTCGCATTACTTTTATTATCTAAATTACCTGAAACTAACACACTCGCACTATTAAACCTAAGCATTTCTTTTCATTAAATATTCCTTAAAGGCTATCCTATAAAAATAAATCACAAATATAAATCAGTTAAAAATATAAATAGTGCAATAAAAATATTAAATTCAGTTTAAGAATACTTAAATCTCTAAAAATCACAAAATAAAATCAAATTCTGCTAATATAAAAATCCCTGCTGGTTTTGATCAACCACTTACAACACAGAGTAAACGATGGACTGGTTTTTATCGTTCTGAAGAAAAAGGAGGAGGAAATCGATACATTGCAAAATGTAAATATTGTTTGAATGAATTTAGCGGCAAGACAGATAGGCTTTATCAGCACATCACTCAGTGTAGTGATTGGCCTCCTTTAGAAAAGGCTGCTTATCTTCAGATAGTTTCTGAAGAAAGTTTCGCATCCCGTAAACGTATCCGTGATAATGAGGATGGCCCTGTTAAACAATCAAGTAGTGATAGCACACAACAGACATCTACACCCTCCCAATGTCAAAGCACTCTTAATTGGTATGCTCGACCTCTGCCCCAAACACAATCTGAAAAACTTCATCAAACCTTCTTAAAAGCTATTATATATTGAAATCATTCTTTTTATATTGTCAAAAATCCGTATATTCAAGAATTTCTCTATGAATTAAATCCTTTTTACCATCTTCCTTCCCGAGATATGATCAAAGGGTATCTTTTAACCAAGTTGTTCTCTGATCATCTTCAAGAAAAGTTAAATACACTTCCTTCTCTCACGAATCTTACAATCTCTCTAGATGGATGGACTGATAATTCTGGAAATTCTATCTACGGGTTTATGGCTCTTAAAGAGCGTCAAGAAATCGTAATGGATATTTTTGATCTGTCTGTATATCGTCATACAAGCGAATTCCTCAAGACCAAAGTAAAAGAAGTCCTATCCTCGAATAGTATCCAAATATTATCCACCATCGCTATTGTTACTGATAATGCTTCAAATATGGATAAAATGCGGCGACTCCTAAATATAAGTATATTAAAGCTATAATTAAAATGTATGTGTGTTATCAAAAATTTTAGACTTATATTATACTTATATTAATTATAAAATTTAGGAAGAGCACTATAATATAATCCCTATCTGTTGTTGTCTACATGTTTTCAACTTGATCACTAAGGATATTGCTGGGTTTTCCGATGTTGTCACCACTTGTAAGAAAAATCAAAAACTGGTTAACTTTTTTAATTCGTCACACATATGGCATCGAGAGTTGCGAAACTGGCAGAATAAGAAAGGAATTAACTACTTTTTATCTACATTCTGTAAAACAAGATGGTATTCACTTGCTAAAGTTTGCATGGGTGTATCAACTTACGAACAAGGGTTCCAGTATTGCTTTTCACTGAGCAAAACTAGGAATTCCAAATATCCTGAGATTGAGAGTGCAACAATCAAGAACATTATCCATGATAGATATCATTTTGCCACAAATGATACGTTGATGAAAGTAATTAAGCCAGTCGTTAATGCTATTGGAAGATTAGAGTCAAATGACTCTACTCTAGCTGATATCTTTAAAGAACTTATTAACATTTACCAAGAAATATCCCAGCTTGAAGTTCCTATTAATGGTTTTCAGGCTCATGCTCTTACGGTTATTAATAGACATGCAAAAGAGTTTAATAGCAATATCTATTTTATCGCATTTTTTCTTTCTCCAGCCTATAAGCAACTGGCTATATCTAAAAAAATGGATACAGATAAAGTGATCTATACATCACTTGAATTAGCCAAAGTGTGGAATTTCCAAAAGAATGAAACAAGTTTTTTATATAAAGAATTAATTAATTATAAACATAATCATCCCCCATTTAATAACATACGGTCTTCAAAAACTCCGCGAACATTTTGGGCTGAATTTACTGGAAATACACCTCAATTGTGCTATTTTGCAATGAAGATTTTTTCTATTGTTCTTCACGGAGCTAGGTGTGAAAGACTTTTTTCATCACTTGGTTTAATTAAATCCAAAATAAAAAATAAGTTAGTCCCATCTAATCTTTCGATACTTGGGCAGCTTAAAAATGAACTCAAAAAAAAAGTCCTTACCAAGTCTAAGAAACAAAGTAAAGCTATTTCTGAATCTTTAGGCGATGATAATGAAAATTCGGACATCTTTACCGACGAAGAGAATGAACAGCAAGAAGAATTAAATGAGGAGCTTGAAGAAGTTATAATTGAGTAGCATGAACCATTTTTTTTAGAAGAATTATTCGACTTTTTACTATTAGAGCATGATCAAGAGGTACACGAAGATTTATTTCAAGTTGGTGTAGAGCAAACTGATCAAGAAGGTGATTGGTCCATTGATGATATTTTTTTTGAAAATCTATAAAATATATATAGATATATATAGAATTAAATAATGTTAAAATAAAAAAGGTAAAAAAAAATAAATATTTAGTTATACTGTACCGTTGTATTATTTTACATGTATTTTTCTGTAACGAGATATAGAGCAATAAAATTCACTTATTAAAAAAAATCTTAGTGTTAGTAACTAAAATAAATTACTAAATTCTAAACGTTCAAGCTTGATCAAGCTTGATCGAATGTATTTTAAGTTATACGTATGTAGGTAAGTATATTTTATAGTATATATACTCTCAAATCCATGTATCTGATTGGATGACATGCGTAGCACTATACATAATTTTATATAGAGAGGCATGCCCCGGGCACAATAAGAAGGAGCATGCCCCAGTCTGAGGCATGCCCCTTAGGGGCATGCCCAAATAATTTTGCATGCCCCCTACCCTAGCTAGAAAGTGGCTAAAAACATTTGGGTTTGAATATTTAGAGGTTAGAAAAGAGATGTATATGGATGGACACGAGCATGCAGAAATAGCTTATTGTGAAAAATTTTTAGAAAAAATAGAGAAATATGAAATGCATATGATAATTTTCTCAGGTGAAAATATGGAAGAGGAAATTAGACCAGCTACTCATGATATTATAATTTTGGTAACACACGATGAGTGTATTTTCTCGGCATATGATGGAAGACATTGGTTATGAATACTGAAAGGGGAGCAGCCACTTCGCAAAAAGGCCAAGGAAGGTCCGTTTATATAAGTGAATTTCTCACTGATGTTGGTGGATGTTTAATATTAAGTGAAGAAAACAAGGTATACATATGATTTTAAACTTTATTTCAATTTACTTTTTTTCATAATTAAAGAACTCTAATTAAATTTTTTTTTAGATCGCTTTTTCTAATCTCTTACCAGAAGCATGTGTTATAACTTATCTGGGTAAAGATGGTGATAAGTGGTAGGACTCGGATGATCTTGTAGACCAGGTAATTAATCGTGCAATCCCAATCTTCGAAGCTCAGTTTCCAGATGCAAAAGCCCTTTTTGCATTTGATAATGCAACCAGTCATCGTGCATATGTTGAAGATGCCCTTTTGGCAAAAAATATGAATTTAACTTCTGATAGCAAACAGCCCAAAATGAGGTTTGTATATTTTTATATATATGGACTATGTTTTGACAGAACACCGCCCATTTTTTCTAGCATATGTGGCAGCACTCATATTGTATAGAGTTGATTTACAAAAATAAATAAGGAAAATCAAAAATAATAATTGTGTCTTTAATAAAGATTTAAATCTTTAGTATCACAATGCTTTCAACTAAGAAATTTGGATTCACAAATCCACTTTATTGTGTTAACTTAAATGTTATTAACCCAATTTTGCTGCCACAATAAAACTATATATTAATAATATCGCATATAGTTGATTATGATTTAAGTTACAAAATAATTACAAAATAAAAATATTTATACAATAGCATGGTTTTATTTTGTTGCAGGTATACTTGCTAGCAAAACCCGAACAAATCCCAAATTTCAAAAAAACAATTGCTATTTATAAAAGATTAAATCAAACAAGTAATCCTAATATTTTGCAAA